CACCCGAAAGGAATTAATTATTTGTCTGAATAAGAAGTAATGTATATGTACCTGTGTACATATGTGTCATGACGCTGTGGAATCAGGTGCTCTGTCAATTTTTGGGCATATGGATTTATTGGTATCATCTTAAAGCCTGTTCATTTGCCTTGTTTTGATTTTGATTGAAAGAAATATCGTTTTATCTTGAATGGAAGTTGATATTTTTACGATTGAAGGAGGATGTGGTCACTGTGTTCAGAGGTAAAATTAACTAGAAAATGGCTGCCAAAGTTTGGTGACTTTGAGTCTTGAAAAATGAAAATTTACAGTTTTTTGTCCTTTTAATCGACATTTTTTCTGTAAAATCCACGCAGAAATGTGTATTTAAATGGACAGAAAAGATGTTGAGCCAAAAAACAAAAATTTGATAAAAATTGCCAAACCAGCTGAGAAATGCTGGGTTTTTTAAATTTCAGTAATCTTGATGAGGGCCTGATTTCACCAAGATGCCTCACATATGGTCGCTTTTAATTAAGCACAAGGGGGCTATTCCGAAAAATACTGTTTTGAGAAAATCGAAGGTAAAGTTTTTGCCCCTTGTTCAGTTTCTTTAAAAGAAAAGGACGTTTTCTCCATAACCAAACAAATATACCCACCAATGAAACCAAACTTCTCCTATAGGTAGGGCAATGCCCACTTTTGCTGTAGGTCAAGATTTCTGGAAACCTTCGAAATCTGGGTTAGCCCGCTTGTCCTTAAAAGCGACCATTTAATATTGTTGTATTTCAGTGCTGGTCCCCAGCCCCCCTCAGAACCTCCAGGTGCAGACCTTGTCGTCGACGTCCATCGAGGTGATCTGGGAGCCACCGCTGGAGCCAAAGGGCACAATCGAGTCTTATGTGCTCATTTTTTACAAGGTACTCGTGTTGCTTCTCTTCTGAGTAGGTCGTTGTTGTTGTTATGTCTGTCTGTTTCTGTGTAAGTTATATGTGAGTTGGGCTGACAAAATGAGTTACTTCTAGGATATTTGCCTTATGGAAATTGATATAATCAAATTTATAGGTGGAGTTTGTACAATTTGTAAGTTTGGAAGAATAAAAGATATGGTAGATTCGACGAAAATGGCAATATTTGAAAGTCTATAAATCTGTCCCCATGTCGATTTTTCTATCAAAATCTCCATTCTTGGATTGCGAGAAGTTACTCATTTTGTCAGCACGACTCACATATGCCGTCACTTACAACCATCCCAAAGGTGGATGTCATTGTTCTTGCTGTTGTTATCGCTGTTGTTGTTGTGTGCGTTTGTTTCTGTGTAAGATATGTGCAGTCCCTTCTCCAAGGTGGTCACTCACAAGTCACAAAGGTGGATGTTGTTGTTGTTGTTGTGTATCTGTTTCTGTGTAAGTCATAAGCAGTCTGGTACGGATAACTCAACTCTAAGGCCACAGTCCCTTCTCCAATGTGGTCACTTACAAGTCACAAAGGTGGATGTTGTTGTTGTTGTTGTTGTTGATGATGTTGCTGCTTGGTGGGTGGTTGGCAGGTGCTCTGATGTGGTTTGCTCCTTCTTTCCAGCATTCAGCATCCATCAAGCTTATCTCTCTTTTTTTAAAGTGTGTTTGTTACTCTTTTGTAACAATTAAACAAGTCTAATCTTCAGCACTTAAATGACCTCTCTTGTAACTCCTCTAATCTTCAGCACTTAAATGACCTCTCTTGTAACTCCTCTAATCTTCAGCACTTAAATGACCTCTCTTGTAACTCCTCTAATCTTCAGCACTTAAATGACCTTATAGTGTTGCCAGTGGCATAAAACTCTTACTAAATTTTTTAAAAGACAAAAGAAAACCCCTCTTACTACAACTAAACTAAAAACTAAAATGATCTAAATAGTGTTGATTGGGAAGTAAAACACCCACCACTACAATTTTTTGTGTTGACCTCACAGGTGGGCTCCAAGTCGGAAGAGGACGTGCCTGTGTTGGGACCCTCGCACACACTCGACAACCTGGACCAGTACAGTAAGTGACCTCAAAATGGCGGGTGGTTGGAGGGTGGTAGTGGTATGTCCTACTTCTTTACTTTCCCTCTGTTGTTTCTGTCTGAGTGGGTTGTTGGAGGGCGCTACTGGTACGTCTTACTTCTTTACTTTCCCTCTGTTGTTTCTGTCTGTGTGGGTGGTTGGAGAGCGCTACTGGTACGTCCTACTTCTTTACTTTCCCTCTGTTGTTTCTGTCTGAGTGGGTGGTTGAGGGTATGTTACTGGTATGTCCTACTTCTTTACTTTCCCTCTGTTGTTTCTGTCTGTCTGTCTGTCTGTCTTACTGTTTCCCAGCACTTGTTGACTATTGCTGTGTCGATGTGCTTCTGTTTACTCAAACAAACAAACAAAGCTGTGTAAGGTTATCTGAGCTACCTATCTGAACTTTTAACACCGTATGTTCCATACCCCCCGGGGCAGTGCCACTGACTGAAGTGTCTTTAGGCCATTCCCAAAAGGGGGGACATTTCTCGTTCAAGCACAGTAGAATTGTAAATGGGCTGATTCATGTCATGCTCATAACTGTGCCTGATCTACAACAGGGAACTGCTGCTTTTTCTTTCCTGATCCTTACTATTGTCATTTTCCTCTACTTCTTTTGTTTGTTTGTCACTCCCTTGTGACCTGCCATTTTAGGGTGCCTTGATAGTCGAAGCAGACCTTGTGCTGTTGAAGCTAGAGAGGTGAGCAGTCTAAGCCTGATTCCCTGTAAAGACTTCTCTGTTGACACCTCATATGACCTTATGCAGTTGCGAGCGCCGTAAAACCCTCTACTATAAAAAAAAAATATATAAAAAACTATAGTATGTTCCATCTCATCAGTAACGCTCATCCACCACAGACGCAACAAAACTCAGAGCCCCTAGAAAAAAACTAAGATTTTTTTGTGAGAATGTTTCTCGCTTTTTGGCCCTAACATCTGAAACTCCTTGCCCCAGGATCTCGGAGAAATGTGAGGCGTGCTGACAGAATGAGTTGCTTCTCGTAATCCACAGATACAGATATTGGCCATTTTTTGTAGATTTTCTATTGATGCCATATTCTTAACTATAAACCTGTCTTTTATTATTTCATACTTATGAATTGTAAAAACTCCACCTATAAGCGTGATTTATCTATTTCCATAAGGCTCAAGTCCGAGAGGTAACTTTTTTTGTCAGCACGCTTCATAAAAAACAAATCCTAAATTAACTATGCCTCAGCAAATTTCTCTTTCAAAAGATCAATAAAATCATATCCTTATCTTAGAGAAAAACCAACTCTTATGAAAACTTCCCAGGCAAGCACAGTTTCCGTGGTGGGAGTGTGTGTGCGTGTGTATGTATTTATCATATCTCAACAAATTTCTCTTTGTGGTGATCAATAAAGTCGTATCCTTATCTTACTTGACAACTAAATCTATGACAACTCCGCAGACGAGTACAGTTTCCATGTGGTGTGTGTGTGTATTGATAAGAGCATGTTTGTGTGTGTGTGTGTTTTGATAAGAGCGTGTATGTGTGTGTGTGTATATTTATCATATCTCAACAAATTTCTCTTTGTGGTGATCAATAAAATCGTATCCTTATCTTACTCGACAGCTAAATCTATGACAACTCCGCAGACGAGTAGTTTCCATGTGGTGTGTGTGTGTATTGATAAGAGTGTGTATGTTGGTGTGTGCGTGTGTGTGTATTAATCATATCTCAGCAAATTTCTCTTTGTGGTGATCAATAAAATCGTATCCTTACCTTACTGGACAACTAAATCTGTGACAACTCCGCAGGCGAGTACAGTTTCCGTGTGGTGGGAGTGAACGAGAACGGGCCGGGCATCAGCACTCCTGAGTCGCTGGCACGCACCTTTTCCGACAAACCTAGCGCTACGCCGCAGAACTTTACACTGGAGGTGACCAGCTCTACGGTGAGTACCTCTGTCTGTCTGTCTGTCTCTCTCTCTCTCTCTCTCTCTCTCTCTCTCTC